GCGGAGTGTGTGCGTAAAAGAGAGAGAGAGAGAGAGAGAGAGAGAGAGAGAGAGAGATTGCTCACTCACCTTGTAGCAGCGTAGCGAATCTTTATGCTACGTATTGTTGTAACTGCTGCACGATTATCAGATCGCTGCACCGCTGATGTTAGAGATGCGCGACACATCGAAACTTTCTCACTTCGAAACACTTTTACACTCGATTAACACAGATTACGCGATAACGAGTTTATTATTCTGTTTATTACTCACTCGATTCACATCGTTTTATCGAGACTAAAAATTACTTTAAAAGAAACGCGAGAGAACACATGACTCGACGCGAAGCGACGGACCGCGGAGACTGCGCGACCACGAGGGTTATGTGTTGCCAGAAACGCGACACGCGACATCTAACAATAAACGACTTGCACGACTGACGCGTGATTGACGCGAGATAAGACGAACAATCGGCTAAAACTTTCTCATTGCGAATGCGGTAGAAAACATGAAACGTATAAAACATGAAACGTACTTAAAATAATTAATTATTTATTATAAATAATAACTATTTTTAATCATAATAAATAATTATTATTTTAAAAAGCATGTGTTATGCGTTATTACATTTTCGAAACTATTGCATTCACGATGCGAAGATTTCAGTCAATCGCAGGAATAATGTAATTAACAAATTACATTTGGGAAAATTTATTTTTATTCTGCTCACAATAAAATGTTCCAACGTGAAAATGTATTGGTCGCTCTGAAAAGAGCGGATTGATTAAAAAAAATTTTAGAGCAGATGCTCAAAATGCCCGCCATCCATCCTAACGCAAGCTCTCATGCGTTTTAATAAATTTCTTTCGACGTTTTCCATTATTTCTTCGTCGATATTCCAAATAGCGAATCGTAATCTTGTCTCTAGATCTTCGATATTTTCGGGAAGCGTTTTATAAATGATTTCCTTACAGTATCCCCATAAGAAAAAATCTAGAGGGTTGAGATCCGGAGATCTTGCTGGCCAACGTATCGGGCCGTATCGACCCATCCAGCGTCCAGGAAAATTCTCGTTCAAAAAATTTGTAACAATTCTGGCGTTGTGTGGCCCAGCACCGTCTTGTTGAAAGATAATATTATTTCTTTCAAATAATGGCACATCTTCCAGGAAATGTGGTAGATTTTCTGTTAAAAAATCGACGTAGGTTCCTCCAGTTAAAATGTCTGGAAGAATAACCGGACCAAGAATTTCAGTGCCCATTATTCCAGCCCATACATTAATCTTCCAACGAGTTTGAAAATTTCGTAATCGCGTGACTCTCGGATTTTCTTCGCTCCAAAAGTGCATATTATGCACATTAAAAATTCCTTCTTGTGTGAATAGCGATTCATCGCTGAATATCACACGAGAGGAATATCTTGGATCTTGATCGACGTTTCGCAAAAAATTTTCGCAAAACGTTCGTCTTGCAGGGTAATCTGCTGGTCGTAAATGCTGCACGCGTGTATAATGAAACGCGTGCAACTTTTCTTCTTTTAATATTCTTTGTACGGTTGTATACGATAAATCATGTTCTCGAGCGACTACCCGAATACTTGTTTCGGGATTATCCTCGAAAGTACGTAGAACTCTTTCTGTATTCCGTACATTTCTAACGCTGCGATTTCTCCCAGCGTCATGTTTGTTCGGCAGGACACTGCCAGTATCGTATAATCTTTGAGCTGCTCCAAGTATGACATGACCCGATGGATGTCTTCGGTTTGGATATAATTCGGCGTATCTTCTTGCAGCAGGATTCTGCTGCACGTGACACTCGCCAATTGCCATCAGCATGTCGTAGTATTCTTGATTTGTGTACGCTGCCATATCTTCTTCGCGCTTATTGATATCGCTTATTGAGATCGCTGATAATCGCAAGCTTATTGATTGCATTATCGATCGTGCGTTTAATTTATACGATCTTCGCTGGGGGTCTGCGCCCCTCCTCGCCTCCCGCGACCAATCGCGAATGTCGCGCACGCTTATTAGCGATTGGTCGCGGGAGGCGAGGAGGGACGCAGACCCCCAGCGAAGATCGTATAAATTAAACGCACGATCGATAATGCAATCAATAAGCTTGCGATTATCAGCGATCTCAATAAGCGATATCAATAAGCGCGAAGAAGATATGGCAGCGTACACAAATCAAGAATACTACGACATGCTGATGGCACTTGGCGAGTGTCACGGGCAGCAGAATCCTGCTGCAAGAAGATACGCCGAATTATATCCAAACCGAAGACATCCATCGGATCATGTCATACTTGGAGCAGCTCAAAGATTATACGATACTGGCAGTGTCCTGCCGAACAAACATGACGCTGGGAGAAATCGCAGCGTTAGAAATGTACGGAATACAGAAAGAGTTCTACGTACTTTCGAGGATAATCCCGAAACAAGTATTCGGGTAGTCGCTCGAGAACATGATTTATCGTATACAACCGTACAAAGAATATTAAAAGAAGAAAAGTTGCACGCGTTTCATTATACACGCGTGCAGCATTTACGACCAGCAGATTACCCTGCAAGACGAACGTTTTGCGAAAATTTTTTGCGAAACGTCGATCAAGATCCAAGATATTCCTCTCGTGTGATATTCAGCGATGAATCGCTATTCACACAAGAAGGAATTTTTAATGTGCATAATATGCACTTTTGGAGCGAAGAAAATCCGAGAGTCACGCGATTACGAAATTTTCAAACTCGTTGGAAGATTAATGTATGGGCTGGAATAATGGGCACTGAAATTCTTGGTCCGGTTATTCTTCCAGACATTTTAACTGGAGGAACCTACGTCGATTTTTTAACAGAAAATCTACCACATTTCCTGGAAGATGTGCCATTATTTGAAAGAAATAATATTATCTTTCAACAAGACGGTGCTGGGCCACACAACGCCAGAATTGTTACAAATTTTTTGAACGAGAATTTTCCTGGACGCTGGATGGGTCGATACGGCCCGATACGTTGGCCCGCAAGATCTCCGGATCTCAACCCTCTAGATTTTTTCTTATGGGGATACTGTAAGGAAATCATTTATAAAACGCTTCCCGAAAATATCGAAGATCTAGAGACAAGATTACGATTCGCTATTTGGAATATCGACGAAGAAATAATGGAAAACGTCGAAAGAAATTTATTAAAACGCATGAGAGCTTGCGTTAGGATGGATGGCGGGCATTTTGAGCATCTGCTCTAAAATTTTTTTTAATCAATCCGCTCTTTTCAGAGCGACCAATACATTTTCACGTTGGAACATTTTATTGTGAGCAGAATAAAAATAAATTTTCCCAAATGTAATTTGTTAATTACATTATTCCTGCGATTGACTGAAATCTTCGCATCGTGAATGCAATAGTTTCGAAAATGTAATAACGCATAACACATGCTTTTTAAAATAATAATTATTTATTATGATTAAAAATAGTTATTATTTATAATAAATAATTAATTATTTTAAGTACGTTTCATGTTTTATACGTTTCATGTTTTCTACCGCATTCGCAATGAGAAAGTTTTAGCCGATTGTTCGTCTTATCTCGCGTCAATCACGCGTCAGTCGTGCAAGTCGTTTATTGTTAGATGTCGCGTGTCGCGTTTCTGGCAACACATAACCCTCGTGGTCGCGCAGTCTCCGCGGTCCGTCGCTTCGCGTCGAGTCATGTGTTCTCTCGCGTTTCTTTTAAAGTAATTTTTAGTCTCGATAAAACGATGTGAATCGAGTGAGTAATAAACAGAATAATAAACTCGTTATCGCGTAATCTGTGTTAATCGAGTGTAAAAGTGTTTCGAAGTGAGAAAGTTTCGATGTGTCGCGCATCTCTAACATCAGCGGTGCAGCGATCTGATAATCGTGCAGCAGTTACAACAATACGTAGCATAAAGATTCGCTACGCTGCTACAAGGTGAGTGAGCAATCTCTCTCTCTCTCTCTCTCTCTCTCTCTCTCTCTCTCTTTTACGCACACACTCCGCCATACACACATCGCGTGTAGCAATCAGCTGATTACAACGTTCGACGGTCGGCGATCCGGAATAACTTTTAATAATTAACATTATTTTAAGGAACACGTATTCCTGATGTAATTCTAAGACATTTTCTTCTTTACCAAAATTTTATTTCAAGCATAATTTTATGTTATAAGATAAAATAGTTAGTGACTCATGCAGTGGTAATCGCCTGTCGGTCAGCTGCGCCCGCGCTCGCGGCGCGTCGGGCCGCCCCTGCCTGCCTCCTGTACCCGACGCATGATTTACTAACTATTTTTGCTTATAATTCAAAAACTACGCTTCAAATCAAATTTTGGTAAAGAAAAAATTGTCTTAGAATAGTATCAGGAATACGTCATTTTAAAGACGGAAGGTTTTTCGGGATCTCCCTGTATATATATATATATATATATATATATATATATATATATATATACATATATATATATATCTCACAGAATTATCATCTTCCATTTCTGGAACATATCACAATATTACGCATTATAATAAATCTTAACAACTAAAAATTAAATCTTTGGACATGGTCACATATACATATTAGTATCACATACGTACGTATTATAAACTTTTCGTTTCTGGAAATATCGTAATATTACGCATTATAATAAATCTTAACAACTAAAAATTAAATCTTTAGACATGGTTACATATACATTAGTATCACATACGTACGTATTATAAAATAAACTTTCCATTTCTAGAAATATCGCAATATTACGCATTATAATAAATCTTAACTAGAAATTAAATATTTGAACATGGTTACATATAGTACATGGTTACATTAGTATCACATACGTACGTATTATCAAATTAACTTTAACAACTTAAAACTAAAACTTTGAACGCTATTACAATGTTAATATTACACATCATGTGTGTCATATGTAGATAATATATATGTAGATAATATATCAAAATTCGTCTTCTTTCTCTTGTTCAATTCTTTATTTATCTTCCTTCTTCTTCTCAGCATTCAATCTTTCTTTGGCTCTTCGCAGCCATTTCTGGATCGCCTCTTCTAAAATTTTTTTAGTATATTCGGAATTACTCTCTTGACCGGAAACTGTAATAAAAATCAGGATCTTGTAATCAGTAATTTCTTTTTTGATTATACATGTGGTTTTATTAAGATTAATCATTTAGATAAGAAAAATTGTATTAGTATACAAATAAATAGCATTATGTATATTAGACGCTTACTAATTAACAAGTCAGCGAGTTTTAAATGACAAAACTTTCGCTTTTGTTTTGCTCCAAGCCAACTATATTTTTCTGCTAGCTCATTGGTCAATAAACGAGTACAATTGCGCTTAATAAATTCATAAGGATGTTTTCCTCCAACTCGAGATACTTCTTTAACCTACAATAAATGTTTTGAGTACATTTTATTTTGAAAATTACAAGTGTAACAAATATATTTAATATTAATTTAATAATTTGAATATTTATTATTAATTTTTAGTAATATATTTCCATAGTAAACACTAATTAGACTTACAATGTAATAAAAATAGAATTAAAAAGAATTGAAAAAAAATCAGTTTCATTTTTTGAAATTTATATACTAATTTGATTTAATAAATTTTTATTTGCAATTTGAATTTATTTACTAAGTTAATTTGTATTTTATAATCAACATACCTATTTAAAATTTTAGATCAATTAGCTATAATTGTCTTTAAAATATTTTTGAAAACTTATATCATTGCAAATAATTTAAAATAAAAAATTAACAGCAAACATGAGAATTGCAACAATTTCTGTGTATCATAAATATATAATTATACTATTCAACTACTACTAAAGTATTAGTATCCAACTACTAGTTATAGTTTAATGATAATTAACGAAGTATTATTACTGATGTTTCGAAATTATTTGGTTGGTTTAAAAATTGCTCAACATGCTCTTCTAAATCTTCGATAGAATTAAAAGGAAGATGGAGAAAAGAAAAAATAGACTCTTCTCTTTGATTATTGCCATTTGGCCGTTGACGGATTTGTTGCATCAGTTCATTTTTCATGTCTCTTAAATCATCTGCTATTTGCCATAATTGTGTCCTGAAGTATGATTGCTGACGGATAATTTCTTTAAAATACTGAAGCACTATATTGTAAATAAGAACAAAAATAATAAAGATTACTTATTAAATTTCCAATTTTTTAAAAACTATTAAGATTGTATATGCATATATTGTATATAGAATAGATTCTTGTTCATGCTATCAACGTATACCATGGCATATTTTACTTATAAAGTGCAGAGACAAAAAATACGATCACAAAAATCTTTATTTTGTATAATAAAATAATAAAAATAATAAAAACATGATAAAAATATGAAGTTAATATAATTAAGATAATGATAAACATGATAAAGATAATGCTGATAAAAATGATAATAATAATATTAATAATAATATCAAAAAATAGAATAAATAGTAATAATAATTATTATTTCTTCACAGATATGTTTACTGATAACACAGCCATGAAAGATCATAAAGCTAATTTTAAAGAACATAAATTATATACCAATTTTATTGTTGACATCTTTTGTTTTATTATTTTCTATGTTATGTTCATTGTCTTGCGAAATATAATTATTATTCGAAATGTTTAATGATCCATCCGAAATGTTTAATGATCCATCCGGTAAGTGCTTCATACGTTTATCCTGAACTTCATTAGATAAGTGATCCTGAACTAATCTTGATTGGCTGTTGCTGCTTGCATTTTTGCGACTTGTACTTCTTGATAATTCTATGTATAAAAAAACAATTATGATATTAGTTATATTACCTCTATAATATAAAAAAGTGAACATATTTTATAATTTTATAGCATATTTATTTTATAATAATTTTATTTTATTAGCTTTTATTAATTTATTAATAACCTTTTTAATTTAAAAATACAAGTTTGACTTTCAATAGACCGTAAGAGCCGAACATGGATGATGGTGCATGAGTTTCAACAAGAATTAAGTTGAAACTGATATACGTGTCCTGGGCAACTATTTTTTGGTACAATACCAAGGCATTTAAATAATTCTCGTTACTTCGAGAAATTATTTTGATTTCCCCTCTATTCTCCCTATAACGAGAATTATTTAAACTCCTTAGTATCGTACCAAGAAATAGTTGTGCTCAGAGCACATACATCTATTTCAACGAAAACTTAATTCTCGTTGAAACTCACGCACTATCATCCGCGTTCGGTCCTTATGGTTTATTAAAGTCAAACTTGTATTTTCAAATAGAGAGCTTTATATAATTCCTTACTTTCTAATTTATTAATTTTATTAGCATTTTAGTATTATATAATTATATATAAGATTCTGCATTGGTGAACATAGGGAATTCAATGCTAATTCTGAAATGGTAAAATGTTGGCTCTTCTAACTACTTTACTTGACTATTTTAAAATAAAATTCCATTATCTATATTTTTTTAAAAGGCATATCAAGTATTGTATAAAATTAAAAAATTTTTTTATTGGCTATTTTTAAAATATTGTTAAATACAATCTTTTTTATCTCTTTCTATTTTTTAAAATCAAAATTGTATTTAAAAATATTACTATTTAACAATATTGATTTCGTCAATAAAAATTATATAAATTTCAACCAAATAATCTTGATTTGCAAAAAATGTAAATAAAAATTTACTCTAAAATAATTAGAGAAATCAATATTTTAACTTTTCACAATTGACATTAGATTTTTTATGTTGTGTTAGCAAATATAATAGCTAATAATCTTTTAATTAAACTACTTACAGAAGAGCTTGCATTTATATCGATAAACTGTAATTGCTAAATTATGTAAAGCAAATTTTTTCCGAGAAAAAGTATTTGATAATATATAATATAGAGGGTATGTCATTTTAAGTAATGAAGCTGAATATCTCTTAAAGTAAAAGAGATTAGGAAAAATATTTCAGACAAAAGTTATAGGTTTCAAGGAAAGCATAAGATGCTGCTATTAGTTTGACCTTAAAGAGTCGCCTGAAGGTCATCTCCAACTTTTTAAATGGGACATCCTATATACATTTACATACTCTTGTAGCTTGCTTCAAGAGCTTTCCAAAACACTATAATTAAATTAAATCGAAAGAAATTAGGCTCGTTATATGTTCAATAACATGATAAGAAAACTAGCGTCTACGAGCCACAGAGGATGATAAATGCCTGGAAAATTCTTTTTAATTGTACGCGAAATTTTAAACGAAAAACACGGCATATGCATATATTTTACTTGGTGCATTTAACCAAGATATAGATTCTCATTTTTGAGAAATTCTATACAACCCTCTTTACCCCCCTGAAGAGACGTAGACGAGAAAAATATCGGGGCGAAGTCGCTGAATCGGGAATCGAACCCGAGTCTTTCGCTTGCCGTGCGACTGCTCTTACCACTGAGCTATTCAGCCCCACACCGATACTACCCTCGTCTATTTGTTTATAACTATGGACAATGAAACGCGATCATTTCAGCTAGCGCGTGAATTAAATTAAATCGAAAGGAATTAGGCTCGTTATATGTTCAATAACATGATAAGAAAACTAGCATCTACGAGCCACAGAGGATGATAAATGCCTAGAAAATTCTTTTTAATTGTACGCGAAATTTTAAACGAAAAACACGGCATATGCATATATTTTACTTGGTGCATTTAACCAAGTCGCCCGGCAAGCGAAAGACTCGGGTTCGATTCCCGATTCAGCGACTTCGCCCCGATATTTTTCTCGTCTACGTTTCTTCAGGGGGGTAAAGAGGGTTGTATAGAATTTCTCAAAAATGAGAATCTATATCTTGGTTAAATGCACCAAGTAAAATATATGCATATGCCGTGTTTTTCGTTTAAAATTTCGCGTACAATTAAAAAGAATTTTCCAGGCATTTATCATCCTCTGTGGCTCGTAGACGCTAGTTTTCTTATCATGTTATTGACTATAATTAAATATTTTTTCATTAAGTACTTTTCGAATCATGGGGCTTGAAATAATTTCTTAATTTTACATAAGCCATAAATATCTAGTAAAATATTCATTTTTTGATTATCTTACCTTAATATTTTTATGTACAAAATAATGAGAGGAATCCATTACGAAAAGAAAAAGCATAGTTGTTTTTTATTTACACCCATTGATTCTTCTCATTATTTTGTAACAAAAGTATTAAAGTAAGATAATCAAAAAATGTGTGTGTGAATATTTTACTAGATTTTATAGTTGATGTAAAATTAAGAAATGATTTCAAGCCTCATGACTCGAAAAGTACTTAATGAAAAAATATTTAATTATAGTGTTTTGGAAAGCTCTTGAAGCAAGCTATAAGAATATGTAAAAGTATATAGGACATCCCATTTAAAAAGTTGGAAGTGAACTTCACGCGACCTTCAGGTGACTCTTTAAGATCAAACTAATGGCAGCATCTTATGTCCCTCTCGAAACCATATAACTTTTGTTTGAAACATTTTTCGAAACCATATAACTTTTGTTTGAAACATTTTTCCCAATCTCTTTTACTTTAAGAGATATTCAGCTGCATCACTTAAAATGACATACCCTCTATATTATATATATATATATATATATATATATATATATATATATATTAATATTGATATATAATATTAAAACATACTTTGTGTGTGCATATTTGGAGGGGTTGGTAATTTACACTTTTGAAGAGATTCATCTGATGATGAGGATGAGGAAATTTCTCTTGGGATAATTTTTCTTTTCGTAACGTCATAATCAGTATCAGAATTTAGTTCCGATGTTAATTCAGCTTTTTTGGCTTTTTCCCTGGCTGTTTTATAGTTATCTGAAAATATGCAAATAAATATTTATATTATTATAACAAAAAAATAACAATTACGTATTTACTGATTACAAAAATATATTGTATTAATGACATGCATATATATTTAAATATTAATTTTTTTTATATTAACCATAACTGCTGTTTCTAAAAGTTACAATATCATATGAAGGCCAACATGTATTTGGTTCGGCATGTTTTTTGATTGCCGCTGCAATTTTTTCCATTTGAAACGGCGGCCAATAACATTTATTATTAATAATCCAGGTAGATGGGACTGCTTCAACTGTATCTTCATTAATAAATCTTACAATTGTCCATAATTTCTCCATTTCTGTACATATCATAAAAAAATTTAAGCAGCATTTTATTCCAACTTTACTTATAATTTACATATATAAAGACGAAAGTTTTCAAAAACTCATTGGAAAATTGGATATCGGAACAGGATATCGGAAACCGATTGACATCTATAAATCCATTTCCTTTCACACTTGACACTCACACCATATGCGCGCATACACACTCAAATACACATTTACATATAAGCATATACACATATACATATATACACATACGCACAAATGTATACATACGTACAGTACATACATTAGGTGTTAGAGGAAATAAGTTAATGCATTTTTCTAGCGAAGAGCACAAGAGAAGAAGAAAGATTATTCTGAATGCAATAAAGGAAAAACTACATATTTATTTTTATATTTTAATTTAATACATTTATTCGCAATTTGCTCTAAATCCCAAGATTCTAAATTCCCAACATCATTGATTACATATATGCCTAATTTTGACGATTTACATGGTATAAAAATCTGTAAGCATCTTATATTTCTTTCCAATTACAAAATGGCCTTCATTATTTACAACAAAATTTTTAATAAGAATAATGTTTCCATCTTTTAAGCTACAGCAATTATCGGGTTCATTTATTTTTAAAATAAATTGTTTAAACACTATTTTGCCGAATTGATTACAATTATGAAAATTAATAAGTGGACCGTTAAAATGTGGATTTAAAAATTGAGGCTTATTACATCTCACTTTGAAATTAGAATTTATGCAATAGTTTTTTTCAGATATACGACAAACAATTTGTTCTAATTCCTTATTATTTTTGCGAATCATTTTTAATATAGATTGTAAATAATTTTCGAACGGAA